CCACATTGGAAATACTGGGTTACTGGGTGTTCGGGAGGATTTTCTGTGATGTTTGGGCAGCGGTTGATGTGTTATGTTGCACCGCATCCATCATGAGTCTGTGCGTAATCTCCATTGACCGTTATATCGGAGTGAGCCATCCTTTGCAATACCCCAACATCGTGACAGGACGCAGGGCTCTGTTGGCCATGCTGGGGGTATGGGTCCTGTCTTTGGTCATCTCCATCGGACCACTGCTAGGATGGAAGGAGCCTCCCTCACCGGACGACACGGTGTGCGTAATAACCGAGGAACCCTTTTACGCGCTCTTCTCATCGCTCGGCTCCTTCTATATTCCCTTAATTGTGATTCTAGTCATGTACTGTCGTGTTTATGTGGTGGCTAAACGGACAACGAAGAATCTGGAAGCCGGTGTGAAGACGGAAACTATGAATGCAGGTGAAATAACGTTGAGGATTCACAGGGGTTCGCAGGTGCACGAGGACTCCGGCGCGGCAGCCAAGGGTCGCGCGCATCAGGCGAGGAATTCTCTGGCGGTCAAACTTCTGAAGTTTTCCAGGGAAAAGAAAGCAGCTAAGACCTTAGGGGTTGTGGTTGGCATGTTTACGTTGTGCTGGTTGCCATTCTTCCTCACTTTACCAATTGGTAGGTCTTTCTTGTACACAGTTGCACAATAATCAGGAAAATGTACTTAAATTACAGTGGAAGAATGCATTCTGTGTTATATGTTATTCAACTAAATTGAGTCGCCTATACACCCACATGAAATACATACAAGTGATTTATCCCTTAAGCCTTCTGCAGCTGGACATTTGTGGTCAGTGGGAAGACCGCAGAGTAGAGGTTAAGACAGAATAAATATTTTTGCACTTTATTTCCTCCTCCCTCTCATGAGGCACCCAGTGTGGGGTCTGCCGCATCCCCTGTTTGGCTGTCACAGCAGGGAGTATGAGAACGAGGCCCTGGACCGCAGCCATTCAGACTCAAAGGCAGGTTATTATTAATGAATTAACATAGTTGTAATTCCTGTCCCAGACAGGGTTATCTCAGCAGGGCAGGGTGCTTGGAAGTTCAGCTGGCCTGCTACATAATTAAGCAACTGTGGCTTTCTTTGAATTTAAGAAAACAAAACTTAAGTGGAAAACAGTAGTGATTTTACAACACTGAATTATTGTAGCTACAGAGGTCATATTTACATGAATATATCATGATACAATGTTTTAAGTTAGCAAGTCTGTTTAGACAATGTCAGTTTGTGTTTACATGGAAACTTTAAAACTTTAAAATTATTTGAACTCAAATCAATATTTCTTATTTATTCATTTGATGAGTTCCGTAATTGTTCTGGAACGAATAATAACGACTAAACTTCATTCATCACTGTCCGAGGCAATGTAGTTTCATGTCTTTTAAATCACTCCCCACTAGCTTTCTTTAACATGGAACCATGTTTCCGCAACGAAATAATACATAAAGGTAACTTCGACTTTTTATTTCACAATTCAAACTTTTTTTTCCCTTGCAATTCTGAGATGTAAACACAGAAGGTACTGTATTCTGGAAAAAAGGGTAGAAATTTAGAATTTAGACTTTCTTTCTTGCAGAGTTTACATTGTGCAATTAAATTTTATTTCCGCCACAGAATAAAAAATAAAACAACGTAATTGCGACTTTTCATCTCACTATTCTCACCCTTGCAATTCTAGCTTTTTTTTTTCTTTTTTATTGTGTGGCAAAAATAAGCATCCATACTTGAAACATAATGGAAGCAAACAGCTATACTATTATAGCTGTTTTATTTATTTATGTAGGCTATGCAATGATGTAATAAATAATGTAGCTAATGTTTATGTAATAGATCATGTAGCTATTTAGCAATACAGCTTAAGAAGACCTGCTCAAAATTTTGGCTCATTCATTGCTGAGGAAAAGAATACACAAGATACACATGCTAACAAGGTTTATAAGTTATGTCACATAAATCATTGATATTTTTCCAAACCTGTCATACTAGACAATGGAAGACAACCCAGTGAGTCACTTGACTGCATACAATTTGGAAAAACAGGATGTAAGGTTGTGAACAGTACATCTCAAACTTGTTTGCTTCCTCTCGGAATCTAATCATTCTAGAACAGTTACATTCTAGAAAGTTCTTTGATAAGAGCAGTAATCAGAATAATGAGACTATTACTATTTAAGTGAGTGAGCTACTTTGGTGTTGCTAACATTAATTAATGCCTATTTAAGGTCTATTCATGACTTATTTTGAAATGTTACAGCCTTCTAATAGATCATTGTCACTTATATACTCTTTAGGCCTTCATTCATGAATTTGTTTTTTCAGCCAAGTCTCATGGTTCCCATGGTACTTTGAATGCAGTGGGTCAATGCACTAGACCTGCAGCATTGAGGTGCCTCCGCTTTATACACCAGGGATCTCAGTCTAAAGCAATTAATGGCACAGATCCACAGCTCTACCACTGAAATTTAATGAAAAAAGGGGTAAAGGAACTTTTTCTAGAAATCTTGCTAAATATTGTTTTTTACAATAAACAGAAGCAGCCATTTATATTCAGGTTATTAATTCACAACTGCTTCAGCAGATATCCAATTTATTAAGGCTTTCATACATTCATATATCAAACTATTAATCGCATCCAAAATAAAAGTTTGTGTTTATATAATTTAAATGTGTATATAAATACACACACATATAACACTTTGGCAAGTGACACTTTTATTTTTTTTATTTATCTTGCTTTTTCAAATGTGGAAGAATATCCCTTAAAATATTCAATACAATTATCAGAAATTCAGACAATTAAAATATTTAGAAATGTTATTTCAGAACATTTTGTTCTTTGTTATATTATTATTATTATTATTATTATTATTATTATATTGCCACTATGAATTGTTTTAAAATAATATCTAAGCTGTTTATTGAATTACATCAATAACATAAAACAAACTGTGAAGATGTACAGTGAAATGTTATCTTTACTGACATAGTTCTACGCTTTCTAAAAGCATAAACTTAATCATCGTAACATCCCTTAATTGACATGTATAACCAGTGTCTAATGCATCATATGCCCTTTCTTCCAAGTTCCCATCAAAGACTAAACACAAAACGTATCTGTACTGTTTCACTATAGTAATTAAGAAGTATTTATTTTATGAGTATATAGTGTTATCCCATAGGAATGCAACACTTGGGATTTAGTTTTAAATTCACTTTTCACTTTTTATTTCCAATTTCTCAATAAAATATAAACAAAACATTTATTTACATAAAAACATATAACTTTTGTTTTTAGGTTTACTTTGTTCTATTTTTTACATGCTATGCACATCTGGTATTCGATAGATTTTTAGTTTCAAAGTTTTCACACCAATTTGCAACAAGCAGAAAATTTGATAGGCAAGCATTGCAGCCACCTGCTGGATGCTAAAGCAAATGACAGACCTTTAAAAGAAACACCAGTTGTATCAGCAGGGGGCACAATCACAAACAATCAAGAACAGTCACGAATTGTGCCAGCAGGGGGCACACCAGTTATGTAGTGTTATATGAGAGAGAGAGAGAGAGAGAGAGAGA